AAAAATCTTGCCTTCACGGGTCTTGTTTTTATAAAGTTTACCACTTTAATAATTATATCAATCACAAGATTTAATTCAGGTGAAATATTTTTTGTAGCCAGGGCCTCCCTATGTATGACGCAATGTGTCCATTTTGCATTTGGTGCCTTGGTTTTAATGAGAGCTTGAAGTCCTCCATATTGCCCTGACATCGCGCGAGCTCCATCTGTACACACACCAACACAGTTCTCCCATTGAATGTTATTTTCTTTCATGTATGAATCTATGATCGCAAACAAATCACTAGCCTTCCCGGTATCAGTCATTTCTTTGCAAAATAACAAATCCTCACATACATTTGCTCCTTCCATGTACCGCACGTAACATATTAATTGAGCGTCGTTATTACTGTCTGTCGCTTCATCCAGTTGAATGGCATATAAACCAGAAAGTTTTTCCACAATTTGCTCATTAATGTCTTCAGCTATGTCATGAATGCGACGACTAATCGTATTGTTAGAAAGAGGAATATTTTTTATTTCTTTAGCCGCCGATTCTCCAATCATTACTGATACCATATCAATCGCTGCAGGTAAAATAAGATCTTCAGCAATCGTGTGTGGTTTCTTGCATTTGGCAATACGGTGAGCGACCTTATAAGAGGCGAGCAGTGCTTTGGAGGAAATAGATGCTCTGGAAAACAAGGATGTCGACTGATGTTTCAGTTCTCGCAATTTTCTTGCAAAAAAATCTCGCGGTTTTCCTTGTAAATTACTGTGAACTGTTTCTAAATGACGTTTCAATTTATTAGGAAGCATACTTTCAGCTGCCAGCACCTTATGACAAACAACACATTGGGGTAGTTCCACATTTCCTTTGCTAACGTAAGTAAATCCAAAATCTAAATATTGGTCATCATATTTTCTGTATTTTTTTCGTTTTTCTACAGTTTCCTTTGTACTCTTTCCTGAGTCTTCAACACGTTTTCTATTTATTTGAATAAAGTTATCCATTTTACAATGCGCAATTTAAATAGAACACACTTGAAATCAAAACACTGATTCTTCAATGCTTGTAATCGACGAAAACAAAAGACTAAACGAAAGAGCGGGAAATTGGAGAAGCGGGGTGATGAGACGCATGCGCAGCGCACTCACTCATTACGTCGTGTGCAGGCGACCGGTGGGTATCGTCTCGCGACTCCCCTATGAAAGCGCCGCGACGCACAGTTTGGGAAGCCCTGCCCTAGACCATTGCTGACTGATTGCCCCTGGAAGTCGGCTTGTTACAAAAACACAGCTTCCCTATCATCAAATGTCACGGCACGCCCCTGGTGCACAGTAGGGTTGGGGTTGTATGTTTGACCACTTTTGGAGTCTCCTTGGTTATTATTGTTGTTATCTAAGGAGTGTCAATTGGAATATCTGTGCATATCTTGTGTAAGATCAAAAATGTTTGTCAAATTTTACATTGAAATTGTTTAACGGATGGTAAAAATTTTGTTTGATGTGCTTGACCTTTTTATTACCAAATGTAAGTGATTACACTTGAAAATTTCCAAATGTAATCATTTACAGACAAATAACACCTTATCTTTGCCAATAAATATATTTATTTCAAAAAACAAACGTTTTCAGCCTGATTTACAGGCCATCCTCAGGTTGAGAACGAAATTGGAACTAAAGCATTCCATTAATAAAATACAAAAATTCAAATTAAAAATTAAATAACCAAAAGAATAACGTAAAAATAAAAATTTTTATTTTTTATTTGGTGATTTGCTGAGTACTTTATGGTAATCACTTACAACCAAGGAGACTCCAAAAGCAGTTAAACATACAACCCTAATACCCCGTTCGCACCAAGCATTTCGATCTAGATTGTGACTAAGGTCGGAGAGAGTTCCGTGGTGCGAACGCCCTCGACCGTTTCAATCTCGACTGAAACGAGGTTCTATCGCGATCGACTGGAGAGAGTTCTTGAAACTAGATCCAGTCATAAGAGAGATCCCACAATCCCACGCGCGCGAGAAAATACAAGATGGCTGCGGAACACGTGTCCGGCTATCGACAGAGAAATAAAAAAAACATCTGGAGAGATGACGACATCTGTTTATTATTAGATGTACGGCAAGAAAAAGTATTTATTTCTAACCAAAACTTCCATTTTGTTTGTTGGTGTTTGTGACTTACCGCGTAATTACGTCAGTTTTATTGATCGCGTGTAATAGCCAGGTTCTTCTCGAGCGGACTGCCTGTGCGAACAGCACGACGTTCGACTAGCGACAGTCACAATCCAGATTGTGGGTAAATCGAGATCGAAGTAAGTCGTGGATTGTGTGCGAACGTAGTATAACACGAATTTATATTCGAATATACAATAGCAATCTTATCATTGTTTTTCACATGTATAGAAATTTGTAATAAAATACATAGTGCGGTTATAATAAAATATTAATGTAAGCAAACACAAATGCATAAATTCATGGAATCGACATTTACATTCATATTTTGTGTAATTATCATTTTACGATACGCGTTACGCCGAATTAACAAATATTTACACTAATTTAACCAATTATTTCTTGAGTTATGAGGAAGGCAATTAAGGTTTATGTTCTAGGAAATTTGGGAAATTTCTCCTCGACAAATACAACTATGATAATTAATTACAGTTAAGTAGAAACACACTTAGACGAGGTATTTAAAATGCTATTTTTAATTTATTTATTGAACAGAATGGATTAACAGCATTACACTACACAGCAAAAAATGGCTACTTAGAAGTGGTTCAACTCTTGATAGACAGGGGAGCATCCCCAATGTCCGTTACAAAGGTGAAGGATTGAATAATAAGCATTAAATAANATTTTTTCGGGTTTTTTTCCTCCGGTGTTTCGATAGAACGAGACCAATAAGTCTTTCATCATGGCTTTCATGTTTTCGATGATCTCCATTCTGTTCTTCTTGCCGTTGGTCTGCACGCTGACGGTGGTGGCGTATCTGCTTGTATAATTGTCCAAACTTCCCACCAAAGCGGCAATCGACGATTTGATTTTGTCGTGTGGCGAAGGATGGGTGCAATCGGCACCGATGACGATGACCGGTTTATGGAAAATCTTGGGGACGACCATCGGCGACAAGATGTTGTTGACTCCACCCAATTTGGCATTGATTTTTTGGCACAGATTGCAGATCAATTGGGCGTTACATCTCTTGCCCAAAATATTTACGTCTTTAACGCATTGGGTGATTAGTCCCATCTTTATTTCCGCCATTTGTTTAATTTCGGCGTAGAGACTTCCTCTTCCTCGAGAAGGCAGGACGATCATAATTAATTGAATTCTGGGACAGGAAGATATTATATTTTTCAAAAGACAATCTACGGAATCGTTGGTCGAGGAATACTCTCTCAGGTAGCAGGGTTTGTTAATAATCATGCCAAACTTCTTTCCTCCTTGACACATCATCCGAACAAAATTTAACATGTCCGCTTCCTTGCAGATATTCGAGGACATGCTGACAAATGCCCACCAAGCTACGTCGACGGGACGATAGAAACTCTTGTCTCTGAGATCTCAAGCGCCGTTCTGTGGAAGAATTTCTTCTGATTTGCTATACATGACCATCGGCGGCATTAACACTCGTCCATCTACACGCACCGGTTGACTATTTACGTGGATGCGGAATTTCCGGTTAAGTTCCTGGTTTTCTTGACAAGTCTGCTTAACGGCTTTGGTGATGTCTTTAAACCGAACTTGCGGGGGTCTGGCAGTGTTTCGTATCATCTCCGCCTCTTGTTTATCGTCCATCTTTTTACTGCAGTGTTGGCCCGGACAAACTTCGCAAACTTCGAGAGGTAAATAGGAGCATTTTCTGGTGTTTCCCACGCAGACGCACGGAAGGTGCGGGTATCGAAGTTCTCCGTATTGCCTCTTGAAGTAATCCGCAACAGAGATCTGACACGGCGCATCTTCTCGTTGCCAAACGAAGCAGACGTATCTGGCGGGTTTGTTGGTGATGCTGTTAATCTTGTACGTCTTTTTGTATTGTAGATGGTTTACCGTAATTTTCAGAGACTTCAATTCCTTCCGAAGCGTTTTTATCTGACGATCGTCGAGTCCCCTGCACTGTTTGACGTCGGCATTTAGGACTTCTTCGACGAACTTTATCAAAGGTCCGCTTTTGTAGAAAGCGGTAGCCGATATGTCGACGTTCAGCATGTGTTTCCATTGAGCTATGCGAACGCTCTGATGGTAACCGAACCAGATTTCTCTACCCGCTCCTANGACCTTATCATTAAATTGAAATTTCGGTGAATTAAGTCAATCTAGTGCCTTGTCGTGACGAAATTCGGAAGTATGTGTTTAATTTTTGCTTAATGCCAGCTTCTTTAACCATTTTTATTTTCTCTTTATAACAGATGGAAATTTTAATTTAAATATCAAAATTAATTTTTAAAAGGATCAGAGATCGCGTTTGTATAAATTTAATATAAAAAAAAACCACGAAAATATATACCTAATATGAACTATATACACATACTTAAGTTGTAAATCATCGTCTAAATCCGATTTATATGTATCTTAAATGTTGTTGAGTTATATTTTTTTAATTTATTGAAACAACCTCTAAGAAAAACAACTGTACAGAACTTTATAATAATATTTTCTGTTCACGTTTACCACATTTTTCTGAGATATAAATCGAATGGAAACTCGACCATGTGAATGTTTTGTACCTATTAAATGTATATTACTATTAAGAACATCGTGTTTGTATTTTTATGAATTTACTGTTGCTTCATTGTGACATAAAAACTGTAAATAAATATTATTTATATTAGGTATATCAAGTATATTTTTTGTTATACCGTAAATTTCATAAATCCATTCGAAGGTATACGGAACAATTCGCCGAGTGACGGAGCCTTCGAGGAATCGCGTGGGGCCCGGGGATAGAGGGGGGCCTCCTTAACCATTTAGTTTTTGTACGTACGAAGTGCCTAGAATGTTTCTTTATTAATAAATAGCAGTCTCGAAGATTTTATTTTCTATTAGTAAAAATAATGTTAGGAACCATTACGGACCCCTAAGTTACTCCGGGTTAGGGGAAATTCCCAGCATCCCCCTCTCGAAGGCCTCGCTGGACATTAGTCACGGGTTCGTGCGTCACAGACGGTTTGGCCACTCGAATTTTCCAGCTTATTTTCACCCGTCTAACACCTAAATAGTGGCCAGGTTCCCATAGACCATCCCGTAGGAGCCGACCCCTCGACAAATCTCTCGAGCATAAAAATTCGATGGCACGTAACATATTTTGGAGAAACGAATCTGATAGCCTACTTTCTTTTCTTATAAATATTCATTATATAGAAATTCATATCGTAGAATCTAAGCTGTAATGACCCAGACACTAATTATTGATTTGTTCTGAATTTTAAAAAGTTTATTCCCTCGGAGAACATAAATTATATCCGAGTTGAACTTGTTCCGTAAATTTCCTTAACGAGTATTCAAACCTTGACATATAAATCAATGTATCGCAAAGGTTATCTTTTATTGGGGTAAGTAATTTCATTTTTAAAATATTGCTTTCATTTTCAGTTTTTTGTTTTTCGAACTTTTTAATAGAAAAATTACCTTTAGTAAACGATTAAAAATTAGAAATGAGTGTATTTACTAAATAAATTGTTCGTACCCAGCAATAATGGTTAGTACGAACCTTTGACAGGCTCGTTAAATCGCTACCTCCGATTGGATAATATAGCGTCACGCGGTCAGTGTAGACCGTTTAAAACAAAAAATTGTTGTAGGAGCGACGCGATGCGGCTATTACAGGCAGGGCGAGCCCTAGAAATTTTGCCATCCCGTAAGATACCATAAATCCCAAATATCCATGGAATTTTAAGAATCATTCTGTTAAACAAGTTTTTTTTGCTTCCACCGAAGCTTGTCCCGGTGAAAATGTACTGTACGCGTAGTTCGAATTGCCCGAACTAAAACATATGCAAA